ATAGCCCACTTACTCTCCTCTTCCTCCCACTCCCCCACCTCTGCTCCCGCCCACCCCCAGTAACTTTATTCCAGCCACAGTGGCCTCCACATCATTCCCAAATATATACTCCTTCCTTGGGCATTTGCAAAAATTGATTCCTCTGAAACACTCTTCCCCTAGATACTCTCATACCTAACTCCTCTATCTCCTTCAAATTTCTGCTGAAATACCATCTTGTCTATAAGACTACTCTGACCATTCTACTTAAAACTGCCCTATCCTCCCTTTTATACTGCTGTTTTTTTTCTTTTTCCCATAAGCACTTATCACCTAACCATCCACATCATTGGTTGTTTCATATCTGTTTCTCCCACACAACAGCAGGATTACTTATTATCTGTGTTGCACACTAACATATTCTAAATGCCTAGAAGTGTGCCTGACAAGTAGTACACACTTGTATTTGTGGAATAATTTTATATATTTGGTGGGTTTATCTAATTAATGGCTATCTGACTCACTACCTAGGAGCAGGAACTGGGTTTGGTCCTGTTGGTTACTGCATTTTCTAGAGCCTAGCATAGGGCCTGCCATAGACTAGGCATGGAAACCTTTGTTAATTGAAGAATATCATTTTTTTTAATCCATCAGAAGATACAAATTCAACACAACTGACATTATCCAGGGCTTTTAAGAGTGTAGAAGAAATCCACCTTCTCATATACTATTGGAGGTATGTAAATTGATACTTTTTTTTGTGAGTAAACTAGCCATAGCCATTAAAATTTAAACCACTCAAAGCCTATGCCCTTTAATTCAGTATTCTTACAGAAGAGTACCTGAAAAGTATGTAAAAGTGTTATCAATTCCAGTACTACTTATGAAATTAAAAAAAAAATCTACAGCAATCTACTTGTCCATCAACAGAGAAATTGGTAAATAAAACTATGCATGGTACATGCAAGTGATAAAATTCTCTGTAACAAGAATGAGACAGATCTACAACACTGACCTGAAAAGTAGTCTGTGATCTAGAAAAAGACCACAGGGCCCAGGGCACAGGTGGGTAATCAAATAAACCCACCATATGTATCAGATGACCTGGATTTGAATCCTGGCTCCCCCTCCTTCCTAGCTATATAACTCCTGGCACTTTTAACTTCCCTGGGCTTCAGTTTCCTCATCAATAAAATAGGAACAATAATAATATTACAATAGTACCCACCTAACTAACACAAAGATTTCCTAAAATAATGCATGCAGTGCTTACAGCACATTACCTGGCCACATAACCATTTACAAGTATATAATAATTATAGCTAACATTTATTTTTTAACTAACATTTATGAAGTGAAATAGAAAAGTTGCAGACCTACGTATGTAAACCAGCAATTTTCAAGCAGTGCGCTGCAAAAATTTTTAAAAAGTGCAGTACCTGTCTATTTAGTCAGGGGCGCTGACCTCTTTTCCCTATGATTGACAAATTAAAAAAAATGGCATCAGCCAACACAACAATAGCTACCCAGCGTGAATGAATCAAAATTATACCAATTTTTTTTCAGATTGGCAAAAAATGTATTTTTTGGTGTGATGCAGAATTTTAGTAGTAAGTTTATGTGTGCCATGAGGTGAAAATCGCTGCTGTAAACCATGTCTGTTTCAGGACGGGGGGGAAAGGTAGAATATCTGTGTAACTACAGAAAAAGTCAAGGACTGAAAACTTAGTAGGAGTAACCCTGAGAAATACAAGACACACTTCTTAATACACATACTTTTTAGAAGACAGCGTCTTTAAATAAAAAAGAAAGTAAAATCACACCAAATGCTTTAGATTTTAAAATATAAAAATTTGAAGATTTTTAACATTATACATAATCGTTGAATTGTCAAGGTAAAATGGAATAATCAACTGAAATTTGTTTAGCTATTAAAATGATCTTTTTTTTTTTTTTTTTTACTTTATCCTCATCCGAAGACATGTTCATAATTTAAGAGGGGAAAGGAGGGAGGGAGAGAGGGAAAGAAACATAGGTGTGAGGAAGAAACATCGATCAATTGGATGCATCTTACACGAGCTCTTACCAGGGACCGAACCCACAACCTAGGCACCTGCCCTGACCGGAATCGACCCCAAGACCCTTCAGGTCACAGGGACAATGCCCAACCAACTGAGCCAGAGAGACCAGAGCAAAATTACCTTTCAACCAATCAATGTTTCTCACATTGATGTTTCTCTCCCTCTTCCTCCCTCTCTTACCCTTCTCTAAAATTAATGAGCATGTCCGTGGGTGAGGATAAATTTTTTAAAAAGGTAATTTTAGTAGCTAAGCAAATTTCAACTGATTATTCCACTTTACCCTGATAATTCAACAAATATATAAGTTAAAGATCTTCAAATTTTTATATTTTAAAATCTAAGTTAAACTATATCTTAGAAGAATTTGGTCTGATTTTATTTTATTTCTTTTTTAGTCTGAACGAGTAAAGTAAGATGCTTCCTCAAAAAGAGAACAAAACTTTTTGAAAAGTTTACAAAGTAAGAAATCAAAGAGAATAAAAATAAAATTATTACATTTCATCCTGTCAGTACACACAAATTGATTCTTTTCTTAACCTACCACATCTCCATTAAAATAAAGACATGCCCAAAAAAGAAAAGTCAAGGCTTAGGGGATGGGCGATAAAGTGGAAGGGATTAAGATGTACAAATTGCCAGATATAAAAACAGTCACAAGAATGTAAAGTATAGCATAGGGAAGACAGTCAATAATATTGTAACAACTATGCATGGTGTCACATGGGTACTAGACTTATCAGAGTGATCACTTTGTAAGTTATATCGATGTCTAATTACTCTCTTGTACACCTGGAACTAATATAATATTGTATGTTAACTGCAATTGAAATTTTTTTAAAACAAAACAATGTTACCATAAAAGAAAACTGCTTTTAAAATAAGATAAAAGCAAAACTAAACTAAGCAGTTATCTTTTTATTGTCAGTTTGACTAAAAGAAGTCTACAATCTTTTTTAAATTAGCAGGGCTAGGAAATTCTAGTGTGTTTAAAGCTAATGTTAAGAAGTGACCTACATTAAGTTCAGCTAAAAAGAAAAATCAAATCCCCAAGATGAACTTCTAAGAAGACGCTGACACAAAGCACTCATACTATATTCTCTATCCTTCTGTAAACACTAGCTGTGGCTGCTCATTTACTACACTAATTGAAAATAAATACTGCAATCTATGCAAACTAATCTCATCCTAGAGTCACAAGATTTGTAAAACAGGGAACAAACCTGTACTAAGAATAGCAAGAATACAAGATTTCCTAAGGCGAATTTTCCTAGCCTTTTCAAGTGCTTAGTCACTTCTGCCTATTTATGAGGAAGACCATTTCACATCTTGAAAGAGGCAGGGAATTTTGATTCCAGACTGTCATGTCACCTGAGCCGCCCTACAGTTTGTTTCCATGCAACTCAAGAGACGGCAGCAACCAGCTAAGCACACCTACCACTCCAGATCAGAACCAGAAGTCATTGGAGCTCTCTGTATCCTGCCTCTGTCTGCAGTAACAAAGAGGGGTTTGTAGAAAATGCAGTTTTCTTCCCTGACACCAAACGCAAAAGGTGAGAATTAAAATGTAGCCTGAAAACATGCCAGTTTCTGCTCTCTGAAAGCCAAAAAGAAATGCCTCCCTTCTTTTCTGCTGAAAGGAAAACAGCTGGCAGATTCTTACACAACTACACGTAAGGGTACTGGACATCCCTCCCAGGCAACTAACAAAACCTAAAACTACAGGCTAACAGGCTTTGAATCATACTTCTAAGAAAGCAGCCTTTAAAATCTGATAACATTGTTTCAGGTTCCCCAAAAGCAAGAACGAAGAGTACTGTTTTCATAAAAAGTTATTTTAAGAGACAACTCTAGGCAAAGTCAAGTTTTAAGCGCCTACTATGTGCCCAGCACTATATCCCAGCATTCCACTCACACTAAAGGAACCTTACCGCACACGCTTATTATAGAAATACACCTGAAAGAACTTTCTCAACTAGATAAAGACCTTGCCAAAGATCAAGTACATTCTTTTCAAACATAACTCCTCCAGGTAGTAAAAACATGGATGGGCATAGTCAATCGCTGAAGCTTCCCAGAAGGTCATGAAGGACTCTGACAACCAACTTACATTATTTAGGATGGGGGTCCTTTTTCTTCAAAAAAAAAATATATATATATATATATTTTAAGGGCTATAACTGATACGGTTCCCCCACTTCAGTATTCTCAAACACTATTCTCAATAACCCCAAAATAATACTAATCACTTTACATACATACATGTTGCCCTCTTAATAGGTAAAATATAAAGGCATGAATTAACTTCTTCTCACTAAGTGAGAATACTGAAGTTCAACGAATCTAAGAAATTTGCTCAGAACTTTTTAGCGAAGGATACAGTCCTTTAGACTCCCAAGGCCCCAGCTCTTACCGTGAAACCACACTGACTCTCACGGAACGCTATTAAACCCTGTTACTGATCTCAACTAGTTTGTCACAAAACTGGGTGCAAAGCGCCCGGGTATCAGGGATTGGAGAAGGAACAAGGGCACACCACCACTACTTAACCAATGTTTTTTCTTTAACAAATATAACCGCACGTTCCCCATTTCTATTCCCCCCAGGGGCACAACCCACGTGCCGGCCCCAGGGCAATCCCACGGCAGCACCCTCTCCACGCTCCCCAGCTCCTGCCAGGTCCTCCGCAGCCTCTCCACAGCCTTCCCTCCGCCTTCCGCTAGCGCTGCCGTCGGCGCCTCCCGCCCCCTCCCCAGCGACGGCCGCCCAGGCCCCCGCGCCGCCCTCGCGCGCAGCCGGAGCTGGAACTCGCGCGCTCCCGCCTCAGCCGGGCACGGTGACCCCCGGGGCCTGCGCGCACCCTTCCCGCTGGCCGGAGGTTCCACCGTGACACCGGCGCCGGGCAGGCCGCGCCCGCCCCGCCTGCCATGGTGGGCGCCTCACCGTCAGGCTGAGAAGCCGGGCCCGACTGCGCCATGGCCAGGCGGCGGGCCTCGGGGAGGGGATGGGCAGGGAAGCGGCGTCCTGGGCTCCCGCGGGCTCAGCTGGCGGAGAAGGCGTCGACCGAGCCGCCGCCGCCGCCGCCCAGGGAGGAACCGCTAAGGCTGGAGCCGCCGGCGCCGCCACAGCCCCGGGCAGAGACGGACCGGAGCGCCGACCTCCGCCTCCTCATCCTGACAGCGGGAAATAAGCGGTGCGCAGGCGCGGGGGTATGGGGCGGCACGTGACGTCGCCCTGAGGGGAGGGGCGGGGCTTTGCGGGGCGACGGGGAACCCTTGGGTGGGGAAGCTCGGACGCGGCGGAGCAAGCTGCGGGAGTGGCGAAGAAGGCTGAGTAGGGGAGGAGAGTGAGAAATAGAGAGACCGCGGCTGGAAAGGCACAGCAGCTTAGAGCGGCCGCTTCCAAGGTTCCGCCCCAGAACAGTAGGCAAAGGAAAAATAATAATAAAAAGCAGGCCGAATGGTGAAGTAAGTGCACAGACTCTAGCCTTTCTAACTGTGTGACCTTGGGAGAGTCACTTAACCGCCTTGAGCCTCACAGCCTTCCTTTGCATAATGGCTAAGAAGAGTTTAAATGAGGCGCTTTTGCAGACTGATTTTCCATAATGCACCTATGCACGATGTGACTTGGGTGCCAGGCACCGTGGTAGATGCTGAGGACACAGCCAGACACAGCCCCTGCACTCGGGAGCGGACACGAGAGGTGATATGCAGACAGTACTGCCTTTACATCAGTACACGAACAAGAGAGCCTGCCTTAGGCCCCGTAGTTTAGAGACTTTCCCCCTAGCCAGTGTCTAGCCACACTCCTCCCACAGAGCGAGTCAACAAGTTCCAGAGGACAGGCCTACCTAGTGCTTGTGCCCCTCCTTCAGGACCAAGTTCTGGGAACCCTTGACCCCTGAAGTTTCCTTGGCTAATGGCTGGATGCCGTGGCCTCTTCCCCAGGGCCATTCTCTCTAGGGCAGAGTCAGGGCATCCCTAAAAGTGGCTAAGGGGCAGCTGTGTTTGGGGTAGGTAGCACAGCGCTTGGACATTTGAGCTGCTGTGTTCACAGGTCCCTAGTGCAGGACAGAGGTGGGAAAAGAAGGCAGGCGGACTATGGGCCAAGAGTGAGGCCAGAGCCTACGCGCCCCTCACTACCTCATTCAAGTGCACAAATGTGAGGAGTCCAGGAATTCTAAATTTCAACCAGGTCTTCTGCATCATTAAAGATATACATTCATCCAAGTAGAATAGAATTATATTAAGGTTAACAGTTAGTTGGAATGATGTATAATTTTAAATAATTTAAGTAGACATGTGACATCTACTTGTACTTTTGCCCTAAATCTTGCAAACCTTATGGGAGGACCTATATACGCACTCTAGTGTTCTGTGCTGTTGATATCCTCAAACGGCTAGTGTGCCTTTGAGAGAGCAAACAGGGTCATTGTCCCCACCTCCACCCCTCCATAAATGACTTTCCTGGGGGAACAAATCCGTGCTTGGCAGGGAGACCTTTGTCCAGGATAGGACAGCCCAGTGCATCCTCTGTCTTACGATGACTAACACAAGGTGGGGGCCATAAAGATAGCAGTTGCGAATGCCCTTAACAGAAGAAGCTCCTTCCAGTATATAAGAGACACATTTATTGCCATTGGTAATCTGGGACTTGAAGCCAGGCCCTTAAGACCGTCACTCAGAAATTGTCAGGCTGCGAGTTTGGATACTTAAGAGTTCCCCATGTCAAGGAGGTGGTTGAAAAACAATTTTCAAATCAGATAGGAGATGTAAGAGTTACGTACATTTTCATATCTTTAGGTTAAACCTCCAAGCCCAGCAGTTCCACCCTCAGGAATATATTAAAAGAAAACTGATGTGTGCTCCAAGCCTTTTTTAAGTGTAAAACAGATGATTTTTATGTTATGAAGGAAATTGGCAATAAGATTTAAACACATAAAATAAATTAGTTACCAACTACATTGCACATGTGCCCCAGGAGACACATACAAGAATATCCATAGTGGCATAATACAATAAATACATAAGTAACCCAAATAAATACATAAGTAACCATTCATCAACAATAGAATGGATAAATTTTTAAATACTTATACAATGGAATACACAGCAATGAAAATGAACAAAACACAGCTACATAGTCTCACAATTTTGAGAGTAAGAAATTATAAAATACAGCATGATTCCATTTGTATAAAGTTCCAAAACAGGCAAAACCAAACATTATGCATACATAGCTGGTAAACTGCACCAACAGGAGGAGAACTGGTACCACAGAAGCCACGGCAGGTTCCTGGATCCGGGAGGGAGAGGTGCACAATTAAGGAGGACATGTAAAAGCCTGCCTTCTGGGGCACTGGCAAAGTGATGTTTCTTAACCTTGGGCCATGCAAACTGATTATGAATCTGGGAAGCACAAACTGATGTAGTTTAGGTGACAAATATTTTCGAGTATTTGCTGCTTCCAGGCTTAAAACGAGCAAATTCAAAGCAGCTGCTGGAAAGCACTCATTCTGTGCTTCATTAATAGAGTCACAGAGTTGTACGTTACCCGAGGCAATACCTCTCCTGCGCTTTGCCCTGATCGGGTCACAGCTGCTGTGTTGGTTGTGTTCCCTCCCCTCCTCTCTCGGACCCAGATTCTAAAGGGAAGGAAGGGACCAGGGAGTAGGGCAGCACACTTCCCTGGCCTTCAGTAAGGGACAGCTTCTGGCAGGTTATAGGGAAAGCACAAGAATCGGGGACTCTCCCTCAGGGCCCCGGTCAGCTTCCAGGCACAGGAAGACTTGGAAAGTCCCAATCTGGGTGCTGGCTTGCTTGCTAAGGGTTCCCAGGAAGCCCATGAGGCAGACACCATTATGTCTTCAGCCATAATCCTCCAGCTTGGTCCCTCTCCCTCCAATTTTCCCCTGGTCCATTTGGCCCTGAGCAGCTGCTACCTTCCCTTCCTGGGATCTGGAATGGGAAGACAGTGATTGGGGATCATTGCTCTAAGCCATCTTTGCCCCATCCTTCTCCCCAGTGAGTATATAGTACAGTGCACCAAACTTACAGATGACTTCTCTCTCATACTGTCTGTCAACAGATGCAGACTGATTTCCAAAGAAGCACTCCAGGCTGTTGACTCACAACACATTTTTAACCTCTTTGAGCCCCCCTTTTACTTATCTCTAAAATGGGAATAATAGACCAGCCTCATGGCACATCCGGAGGAATAATGCAATAAAGTACCTAACCCCTGACACACAGTAGTTGCATTATAAATATCTGCTTCCTCCTCTCCTTTCCTTCCTTTTTTTCTAGGAGTTTCCATCCTGAGGAATAAGGATCTGTGCATCTTAGCAGTCTGTGAAGGTATTCCCAGAGATCCAGGGCAGAAATGTCTCATATTCCCAAAGCCTAACTGAACCATCCCATTTACACTAGATAAGGTCCCAAGACTAAAATGCAAGTTTCTTTGCTTAGGGCAGATTTTATATCACATTGCTTATCTCATGCTGATTAGATGTTCTTATTCCAGTTCTATATTAGCTGTTGATTAATAAAACAAAGAGGATCCATTATTACTTAATATATACAGACAAGCATCTTTACATCTGGTGGGTGCTTTCTTCTCTAGAAATTCCCCTTTTATATAACATCAAACACACAGTCGCATAATTGTCTGGAAATAAAAATCACTATGTATTTACTGTGTATACCATGTGCCAGACATTGGAAAAAGCTTTTTACCATTGTATGGATTTGTTTAATCTTCTTAAGAACCTTATGATAGAGAGATGGTAGGAGGGGGAAACTGTCAACCCATTTTATAGACGATGTGACCAAAGAGGTTAAATAATTCCTCCAAGGCCACAGAGCTAGTAAGTGGCAGAGATAGAAGTCACACCCAGACTGTCTGGGTCCAGTGTCCCTATGTGTAACTCCCAGGCTGCATTTATCGGCAACTAGCTATGTCTCTCTCCCATTGAGGAAAGATGTCACCTCCCAGAAAACAGAGACAGACAAAATCATTTATTTATAATGTTGTGTGTCTAGTACCTAACATAAGAGGTGCTCAATAAATACTTGTTGAACGAATAAATGAATGGGTGGATGAACAAATGAGTAACATTAGGAGTATATGGAGCAAATAATGAGGAATCCTTGGTGGTGATAAAATCTATAGTCTGCAGATTAAATCTGCATGATTCAATTCTGTTCGGTCATCATACATTTGACTTTCACTTTTTTTTTTAAAGATTTTATGTATTTATTTTTAGAGAGGGGGAAGGGAGGGAGAAAGAGAGGGAAAGAAACATCTATGTGTGAGAGACTGGAAATCAAACCGGTGGCCCTTTGGTTCACAGGCAGCTATCAATCCACTGAGGGACACCAGCCAGGCCCTGCCTTTCCCTTCTCATTGGATTACAGACCGTAATTGTAACCATTACCACTGTTAACACCCACCATTTATCCAATCACCTACTCTAATGCTAGAGATTTTACCTGTGTTTTCTCTTCCATCCTCATCACAACCCATTGAGTAGCTTCATTATCCCAGAGCTCAAAGAGGTTCAATGACTTGCCCAAGTCACACAGTGACTGGAAGAACCAGAATTCAAATCCAGTGTTGTCTGACTCCAAAGTTCATGCTTTTTTGCTGTTGCTGCTAGCTAACCATATCTATCAGATATCAGCAAATGTCCCTACGCTCCTAGGCCGTTTTCAATTGAATTCACTTTTAGAATTTTCAATCAGTTACCCCACCTTATATTTCTTATTTTTTTCAAATTACTCCAGTAAATTTCTAGTCCTAAATTTTTACAGGTAAAGCAAAAGTACCCCCTCAACTTCTCCTCCCCCCAACACACACAACCCCAGATCCCTCCCAGGGCAAACTACAATTATCAGCTTTATATTAATCTCTTTGGACTATTTTCTGTGCATCTATAAATGTGTAGAAACATGTGCATTTGTGGCCCTGGCTGGTGTGGCTCAGTTTGTTGGCGCGTTGTCTTGTAGACCCAAAAGGTCGCAGATTCCTGGTCAGGGCACATGCTCAGGTTGCTGGTTCCGTCCCTGGACTGGGCGTGCAGAAGAAAGCAACCCATCGACGTTTCTCTCTCATAGTAATCTCTCTCTCTTCCTCTGTCTCTAAAAACAATGAAAAGGAAAAAAAAAGTCCTCAGGTAAGAATTAAAAAAAAAGA